GCTTCTGCTCCCAGGCAGGGTCCACGGAGTCGGGTCGAGCGGCAAGGGGCCTCTCGCGCAGCCCCGGAGCACCCGCTCGGCAGGCCAAAAGCGCTCTGTGCCAGCGGGTGGGGGTGCCTTCCAAGGAAGGACAGCCTCTAAATTTGGAGCCAGTGCAGGGCCCGCAGAACGAAATCTGGGCAGCTGAGTCAAGGGAGTGCGAAGGCGTTGCACCCACCCCCTCTCCCAGGCTGGATTCGGCAGGCACCCCCTGCAGGGGCTCCTGCAGCAGCCAGACTTTCTGCATCAGACGCTTTGCGGCCAGGAGTCTGGTAGCCCCCGGGGGGGGCACAGAAGGCGGTCTGGGGGGCACTGTTGTAATCACAGCCTTATGCCCGCTGCCTGTAATTTTACCGAAAGGAATGCCGGGGGGGAGGGGGGACGCACGCAGGTCCCAAAGCCAGGAGTGTTCGTAGTGCCGATTTCATGCGAGCGTGGCCACGGCTTTCTCCACGGCCCGAGGGAAATTGCTCATCCCCAAATGGGCCATGAAATGAAATGGCGCGATGCATGACAAGGACACTTCAGCAGAAATGGGTCAATTTCCTGCCATTTCCCCCCATAATTGTATGTAAAGTGCACAACATCGAAGATGCCGGGGAAAACAAGTATTCATTCTTCCTGAGGCTTGTTGTTTTAATTCTGCCATGAATGGAAGCAGAAACACTCTGAGCTCAGTTGTGCTGCGGAGCTTTTCTGTCAGGCTGCCTAATAATGCTCCATTTCCAGTGAGTACTTATTGCCTCGGAAGCCCAGATAAAAAGTGGACGGGTGCCCACGATGCTCGGCTGGACACCGAATGGGGCAGACTTTAGCCCAGGAGCTGCACCTGGGTAGATGAGACACGTGCTCTTGGCCAGCAAGCTCAGGCGCATTTCTGCCACCCCCATGCACTGGGAGGGCCACTTTAAACGGCAATGGTGTGATTATTACTAAAGATGGGGGCCACCACCGAGAAGGCCCTCCCTCTAAGCCTCTTGCTGGGTTGGCACCCGGAGGAAGGGGGTACTGGAGGGTGCGGGGACTGGCTTGCAGGTTGCGGGGGTGGGCTTCAGGAGACCCACGTTTCTTGAGAGTCGCGCTGCGAAAGCGCATGCCACATTCAGCGCATCACACGAGGAGGGCCATGACTTTTGCATAAGTGCAGGGGGCCCCAATCCAGGGTGCTGATAGTGCTAAACCTTTCCAACCAGCTGCTGTTTCTCTTTAAATGTGTTCTTCCACACACACGCACACGCACGCACGCACACACACACACACAGCCTTGTGCGGGAGTTCAAGGAAGAAAGAAAGGGGGGAAACTCCTTTTTGCCTGCATGGTCCTCTTGCCCTCTCCATCTCTGTCCTCATGGCAGCCCTGTGAGGTAGTCCAGGTTAATGGGCAGTGATCGGCCCAGTGTTTCCCCATGAGCTTTGTGGCCAAGTGAGGACTGCAGCCCAGATCCCCCAAAACCCAGCCCAACACTTCCTGGGCGCCCGGTTCTTCCTCGCCCACCCCTGCTGTGGGGTGGCCAGTTCTGGGCCCCAGAGGGCTGACCTGAACACTGGGCCAGGCAGCACTGCCTAGTGGAGAGCCGTCCAGATTGGTTGGCTTGTTCCTGTATGCGCTCGTTGCTCAGGGGGCCTTGCAAGCTGCCCCCGAGGGGTTCTTTGCGAGCGGTTTTCCTGGAGACGGCCAGACGTGCGTGCCGCAGCAGCATGATGGGAGTGGTAGTCTGGGGCAGCGGGTGCTTTGCCCGGAGTTTTGCAGCAGCTGATAACCCCGCCCGTGCAACGTGAGCCGTCTCTCGCTCGGGTTGTGTCTCGTGTTTTGCAACGGTGCCCTGCCGTGTTGAGCCGAAACTGGTCCACCTGCCAGGAGACCCCATGATGGGAGCGCCCCTTCTCACGCAGGACGTTTCCGGCTTGTTTCTGTGTTGCTGCCACCGCTGTGGTTCTGCCCCGAGACGAGGGAGGGCATTTGCTCTCCGTTAACTCTCCCCGCTGGGGCCCATCCCCTCCATCACCAGGCGTGGTCACGCATGCCAGCGCGCGTGCGGCAGCTGCTGTCGGGCCATCGAGCTCCCTTTCTCCGGCAGGTGTCCACGCCCCTTCCAAAATCCACTCGGCATTGCTCCACCCTTCTCTGTCTGCGGCCTGCAAAAAGTCCACGAAGCAGATCCAGTATTTTAGCAGCTTTTGCTTTCGCACACAAACCTCAGTAAACAGCACCCCGGATGAGAAGGAAAGGAAGGGAATCCATGTTGCGGCCTGGAAATGCCTCCCCGCCTGGAAACAATAATACGGGTGTCTGGAATAATTAGGAGATCCTCATCATTTCCGCAGCTCCATCTGCATGCGGCCTGCTCATAAGCATAGAAGACAGGTTCCTGTCCCAAGGAGCTTACAATCAGAACATCAGCAGTGGGGGAGGCAAGCAGGCTGGAGACACAAGACGTGACACAGACCTGACAGAAGGGAGCAGAGGCCAGGCACTCTGCACGATGCCGGCAGACAGCGTTCCCAAAACGCACCCCTGCAGCCACTCCCTCGCCCGCTCTCCCTTGTCCCCACTCCAATTCTCTCGTAACCACCCCAGCACTAAAAAAGCTCGCTTTGTATTCTGCCACGGCGCCCAGGAAGCTGGTTGGAGAGGTGAATCGCCCTTGTTTTGGAATTTGCTTAGTTTTCCCAAGGATGCCACGGCGGAGACAAATCAATCCCACCAAGAGGAGCATTTGTGCCGGATGTCAGCCGCGCCGGCATCCCCCAAGCAGCAAGCTGCGATCTGACATCCAAGCCGCTCTACGCGCAGGGAAGGCCGTGCTGGGTTGACTCATTTTCTGCCCCTCCCTGCGGTGCGTGGCTCTCTTTCCCTCACCAGGAGCTCCCACCAATTCAGGGCCTGCATGAAACCGCCTCAGTCTCTAACCAAGGCTCCTTAGTGGCCGGAAAATGCACTCTTCACATGCTCCCTAGCACAGTATTTTGGAGAAAACAGGCTCTGTGTGTGTGGGGGGGGGGTTGTTCTACAGGACATGAAGCCCCCATGGCAGTTCTGCAGGGGTCAGAAGGTGCAGACAAAGGCCAGGTCGTCTGTTTCCAGACACGCATTCGAGATCTCGGCTGAGATCTTTCTGTTGCTCTGGTTTGTCTTGAAAGTCCAAGCAGCCCCTGCAGCCAGAAACAGCCCATAAAATTCTGCGCTGGCTAATTACCAGGCTTCTGGAGACATCTGCAGCGGTAATAAGATTGGAGCCCCGGTTGCCCCTCGGTTGCTGCAGAAGCGCCTGAGGCAGCTGGGGAAGTTGGGCAAAAGTTGTGTGGAGAAAATGGCCACCAAGCCGTTCTGACCTGCGGGGAGCGAAGTGGGGAAGGGAGTTAGGAAGCGCCCACCTGCGGGCCTCTCCCGCGTCCGGCCGGGCCTGTTTTGGGGGCAAGCTCAGCCCACTGCATGGACTGGCGCAGCTCCGGAGGCACGGCCGACCCCTCTGCCTGCACACGCTCTTGCGGCAACTGCAGTGCCGGCACAGCGAGTCCCCCCAGATCGGCCGGGGAGGGTGAGGAGAGGGGGAGCAAAGGCCGCCCACAGCTGGCAGGGGGCAGGGCATAAAGACCGCCCCCCCCCCAGGCTGTGGCCCCTTCCAACCTCCCCCGTTTGGGGCTAGGGGCCAGCGACCCTGAAAGGTCATTCCATTTGGGCTGGATGGACTCCTGACCCATTTGCAGCCCGGTGGCCAAAGGTGAGCCGACCCAAGGGAGGTTCGCAAAATATCTGCGCAGGTGTGAAGGCGGAACTGGATGCGGCTTGTGCAATGGCGCAAAGGGTGTGACTTTGCACAAATTGCAGGTATGGATGGAATCAAGCCGGTGCATCGGGCTGGAACCGTTGGCTGTGTTCTCATTGCTCATGCTGGCGCTTGGCCCGGGGCGCATGGACGCTGCCACCGCTCCCTGCACACGGTTTGGCCAGCCTGAATTTCCTCTCGGCTAATTTCAGATCCCTGCAAAATTTGGGCCGCCATGCTGCGATTTTCATAAATGCATGCCAACTGTGCCGATTTGTGACCACCGTGGAGAAGAGGCCCAGATGCTGTGCAGGCTCTGGCTTGTTTTAAAAGCAGGGGTCTGTGCACCGGCCGGACTCCCATCCCGTGGGCAGAATGGCACCCCTGTGGCCAAGCCAAGACAATCTGCCCGATGTTCGCCCCCACTGTTGCATTTCCCACACGTCTTGGTCCTGGAAGTGGCGTCTCCCTTTAGCTGCCCAGTCTAAGCCTGGGGACCAGCCTTCTCTTTTGGCGTCCTGCCCTGACACTGAGGCCGTCCCAGGTGACCCCCTGGCTGGCCCCTGCAGCGTGGCCTTCAGCGTGTTGGCTCCCGCCTTGCGTGCTAGGACTCTTGTGGGGTTTGCTAAAGGTGTTTCCCAGCAAGCTCCTTCCTGAGCAGGGAATGAATTCCAGCCACCATCACACAGCTCTGCATCCCTGGTTGATTTCACTGCCTCTTTTGGTACTTTGCATTTTGATGTCTTATAGAACAGTTGGATGGGAAGTGGCTTAGTAATGCAGCTGCAGTAGCTGTCACATTTCCGAGCCAGAATTTGGCTCCTCTGTCCCCCTTCAAAGCCACCTCTGAAAAGGCAAGAACTGCCTGCGAAGGGAGGGAGCACCAGGCCAGCTTCCCCATCTGTGTTGCGCGCATGCAGGGAACTGATCTGGCATTTAGGCGCCGACCGGCAGGTTAGGCTGCTGCCCCTGCCCCCGCTCTCCCGGCGCCCGCCAGTGTGCTGGACAGGCGCCCCCGTCCTTCCCACGGAGCCGCAGTCCAGCACGTCGGGGGGCTGCAGTGGGGAGACCTGCTGCCGCAGCGGCTCCTCGGAGGACGTGGTGCAAAGGGACGAGGCCGCGTGAGGCCCCGTCCTGCAAAAGCGCCCGGCGTCCCACCGACTGGCCCCGCCGTGCCGCCTCTTCTCCCCACAGAACACCCTGGAGCAGTGCAGCACTTGCGCCAAGCCCATCATGGAGCGGATCCTGCGCGCCACCGGCAAGGCCTACCACCCCCAGTGCTTCACGTGCGTCATCTGCAACCGCAGCCTGGACGGCATCCCCTTCACCGCGGACGCGGGGGGCAACATCCACTGCATCGAGGACTTCCACAGGTGGGCAGCGCAGTTCCCTCTCCCCCCCGGGGGCTTTCGGGGGGCGGGGGGCGGCCCTGGCACTGGGCTGGAGAAGGCACAAGCAGCGTTTCCCATGCCTCCTGTGTCCGGTGCTCAGAGGCTGGCGCCTGGCATGTGCAGCCCCACCGCGCCATCCACGCGTCAGAGGAAAGCCCCGGCCTTTGCAAGGCTGTATTTAGAAAACAGACTCTGGTGGGGACCGGGATCGGCACCTGCAGCCCGAGGAGAAACAGGCATGCCGGCAGACGGCTGCGGGGAGTAGGAGCGCCATGCGGGAGGCGGAGTAGAAGCGGCCCGGCTGAGGGGCTTGGAGCAGCGGGGAGGAGGCTTCCGCGCTGCAACATCCCGCTGCAGCACTGCTTTCTTTGCTCTCAGCCGAGTCGGCGCGTCCCTGGGCAGGGATCCGGCATTGCGAGCCTCTCCCTGGCCTTTGGCGTGCCCTGCCCCGTTAGCGAGCGTGGGGGCTGCGAGTGTCATGGCAGCATGGCCACATTTTGGGTTTGCTCGCCCGGCAAGCCCCGTGCGAAGCTCTGGGTGCAAATGCGAGCGCACCCCCCCCCCCAAGACTGCCCACAAGCTGCCAAAGGTGCTCACACACTTCCGGTCCCACCTGCAGAGAATCCCCGATAGACAGGACGGGCCCTGCCACAGCCCCCGGAAGAAGGCCCCCGTGCCCCGCGTCCCGCGCAAGCGTTGCGCCCCATCGCCGATCCCTCTGTGCAGTTTTTCCATCCATGCCGGAAAGCGATGAACACAAAGGGGGACCTGGCACGAGATGGGACAGGAGGGGATGGCTGGAGATTCCCGAGCGCCTCGCACCGGTTCCTTTGCTGTCCCTAAAGGACTGAGCAGCTCTGCATTTCTCCAGGTCTGAGGACCAGGTGGTGCAGCTTAGGCCCGTGTCTGCCCACTCAGACCAAAGCCCTGACGAATTCCGTCGGACTGAGCACGGGCTGGCAGCCTCCTTTCGTTTGCCATTCGCCTCTCCTGCCACCCCCTCGGCCTTCCCTCCCTGTTACGTCTGAGGAGCTGGGCAATGTCTGTGACAGCGAGCGGTGGCCTTGTGGGGCAGGGGGGTTCCTCCCCTCCTATGACACAGTGCTGCTTCTGCTGGTGAAAAGGAGGGTGCTAAGACCCCGAAGGCGGCGGCCAGCACAAGCGGAGGGCGAGCGAAGGCTGGATGGCCTCCGTGGTGGGGCCACGTGCTTCCCGTGCCAGCTGGCCACGCGGGGGACCCACTCCAGTGCCGTGATGCAGGCCTGCCGGGCCTCCGCGGCAGTGGGAGGCCAGCCCGATGCATTGTGCCCCTTCCCCTGTGGGGACTCCCCTAGATGTCCCCCCGGGGGTCCCTGACCCCCGTCCAAAGAGCGGCTGCCCCAGATGTGTGATGCCCACAGATTACCCAGTGCAAAGGGAACTTCCAGGGGCAGCAGCGGTTAACCTTCCGTGCTCCCAGTCAGCTTCATCTTCCTCCAACCGGGTGCCCTCCAGATGGTGCTTTAATTGCATCCCCCCTCTCAGTGGCCCATGCTAGCTGTGGATGATGGGGTTGTAGACCCCAGGTGGGGAAGCTTTGGGGGCCATTCGAGTCAAGAGCCTCCTGGGTGTGTGGGGGGGCGGGCATGGGAGGGCTCTCAGGCACTGGAGAAGGCGCATTTTGCAGCTGCCGGATCTGCAGCGCCTGGACCAAGAGGCATTCTCAAAACTTGGGCCCCAAAAAGGATCCTAAATAAAAATCAGCTGCTCTGTGCCCTCCTTGCCAGTTCGTGTTATTTCCAATATCTTTTTGAAGACCGTGGGAAGCTTAGAGACTGTCAACCCGCCAGCCCCCAGCTCTGCCTCTTAATTTAAGAAGGGAAATCAGCTTGGGTGGCTTGTGGATATTTAGCCCACGGGGGTCGCGGAGAGTCGGGCACGACTCTGCAACTGAACGACGACAACAAACGCTCTTGACAGGGGAAGGTGCAGTTAGAACGGCGTGTGCGGCATTGCACAATCCGTTCCCTTTGAGCTCAGTGGACTCCTGACACCTTTCCACCCCCGAGTCCAAGCACAGCGAAGTCAAGGCTTTCTTCTGCTTTTGTAAAAGCGCTCCAAATACCCACACAAATCGGGAGCCAGTCAGTTCCGGCACAGTCGCACAAACTGTGAGCGGCGCAGGTGCGGCTGGCTCGCTCGCATGGAGCTGCCGGTCTTCTTTGTGTTGCTGGAGCATTTCACTCGGGAACTGTGGAGGCCGCTCGTGGCACACGACACCCTTCACGTTGCCCCCCTGGAATTTTCTACCCATCAGCATCAGTTCTGCACAAATTTCGGGCTCTGCTGCTCCACCTGCGCAAATTTCAGGCTTCATGTCACAATCGACACAAATTGCTGAGCAGGGCTGGGAACGGACGCAAGTGACAGAGCAGAGCCGTTCGTTTTGACTTGATGCTTCCTTATTCTTTGGCTCCAGTGTAATCAGAGCCCGTCCTTTATAGCACCATGGTCACCCTGACAGGCTGAAGGCGTCCTCAAAAGCGGCCCTCCCCCCGCCGCTTCTGCATCCTTCTGGCAGGCACCAGAGACCCCCGGCTGGGCTTGTGGCTGGGCCAGGCGGCCCCTCGGCCTGTGGCATTCCACTGCTCCTGCAGGCCGGAGCCAAGGCTGGAGCCTTCCCGGGAAGGAGAGGGGTTCCGGCAAGGATGACCTGGCTGCCCCCGACCTTCATCAAACAGAGACGGCGTGCCTTGAATCCGCCTTTGTCTCGTGCCAAGGTGCTTTGCCAGGACAGCGGGATAAAACCTCCATGTTCAGGAGCAGTGCACCTGTGAGAAACTGTGCCCGAGGGTCAGCAAGGGGGGCTGCCCTCTTGCCCCAACTGTGAGCTGGCCGGCCAGCGTGGGGAACGTGGTCCAAATAAAATGCCCCCGGATTGGACTCCTCAGCGCTCTTCTTTTGGGGTTTTTTTTTTTTGCGGGGGGGACTTGCGATACTTGCATGGGCAACTGGCTAAATTGGAGCCAGCAGCCCTCCTAAGCCCTGAGACAAGGGTGGGCTAGACAGGTGAGCACTCAGCCCCACGGCACGCCACGAGCCACAGACGGCATCTCTGGTGGCCGGACTGGCTGGGCTCGGGCTGGGCTGGTGCGGAGGGAGAGGCCGGCCCAGCGCCCCGCGTTGCGCTTGCCCTGGCTCAGATGATGGCAGTTGCCGCTGCACCCCTGTCTTTGCCCCCCAGGAAGTTCGCCCCCCGCTGCTCGGTCTGCAAGGAGCCCATCGTGCCTGCCGAGGGCCAGGAGGAGACGGTGCGCATCGTGGCCCTGGACCGCGACTTCCACGTGCTCTGCTACCGGTGCGAGGTCAGTCGCGTCCGCTGCTCGGTCGGGGTGGGGGCGTGAAAACTGCTCGCGCTCCTCAGGGACCTCTGCTAGCAGCCCGCCGGGGGACGCTGGGAGTGGCAGGCCCTCTCTCTGCCTGAGCCCGCGTGGGTTTGGGCCACCCCATATTGCAAGCCGGGATGGCGAGGGGGATTCCTGACCCAGCCCGCTGCGACTTGCATTCTGCGGTGCAAGGCAGAGGGGGGCCGCAGCATCCCGAGCATCCAGCCTCGGTTTAAACACCCCCAGCAAAGCAGCAGTCCTCCACACCTCCCTCCCAAGCCAGCCTGCTCCGTGGCCCTCCCCGTCAGAAAGTTTCCCCCGGCCCGGGGCCTGTCTCGGCTTCCCTGCGATTCCCGCGAGCCGTGCAGGCCCCCCTTCTGCATGGCAGCCGCGCAGGCCTTCGGAGACACCCCACTCGCCTTCGCTTAGCCCGCTCTTTCCTGAGCTAAATATCCCCGGCGGTGGCGTGAAAACACCAGTGCGAGCAAACACGGCCCTGCGGATCACGGCCGCGCTCGCTCGTCGGCACCACTGGCACCGCGTGGCCCAGCCCGGAGACGCGGCCCTGGCGGAGCTTGTCTGGACATGGGCCGCCTCTGCGCGGCTCGGCCAGCTGCCTTCGGAGGACGATCAGCTTCTCCACGCAGGCTTGTCGAGCAAGTAAACGCAGGCCCTGACGGGGGTGTCCGTGGCTGCCTTCGCCTTCCCGGCGTCCGGGACGCAGGCTGCCTTCGAAGGGTGGGTGCACGGAAGAGGCGGGTGAATCGTTAACTGGCTGGCCTGGCCGGACTTGCGGCTGCTGGGCTTTAGGCCTCTGTTTGCTTTGACCGCATATTTCAGCGTGCGCTTGGGGTTGTTTGGATTGCAAGGACTGGGCGGAGAGGAGTCCTGGAGCGGACGTCTCCAACCTGGCACCCTCCAGGCGTGCCGGACTGCAAGCCTCGTGGTTGCCGCAAAGTGGTCGCCATTTCTTCAGCAGCGTTGGCTAGCCCTGTGCTTCTGAACCCGAGCCAAAGTGCTCCCTCTGAGCCGGAAAGCCCGAAGCCCTCGGGGAGCACGTTCCGTGAAGAATGGTCTCCGCCACAGCAGCCGGCTTGCACAGTGAGATCAGCCGGGGAGGCCTTGCCCCCTTCCCAGCGCACTGCAGGGGCTGTCCTGCAGTGGCCCCACTGCGGCGGAATGCCAGGGGTCGGCCGGGCCCCACTGCTGCAGGCCTTTCGCAAGGCCCTGTCCATTCGGGCCCCCCCCGCGATCTGTGTCAGACGGAGTGGGGGCTGCAGGCGTCTGCCATGAGAGCCATTCCTGCTGGCGTTTTTACTCCCTCTATCGTGCTCGATCATCGTTCTCCCCATTTCGATTTTTATCGTATGTTCTGGAAGCTGCCCTGCCCTGGGAGGGCTCCTGCCCTGATAAACAGTCGGGGAATGACTTTAAATAAAATCGGGCTGGCTGGGAATGATGGGCATCGCTGTCTGGCACATCTGGAAGGTGTCCGACTGGGGAAGCGCCCGTATTATTATTCATGTGTTTTTATGCCCACGACATTCCTACGCGAAGCGCCAGGCTTGGGAAGGCTGAGCCGGGCTAGAGCAGGAATGCCTTTTGCGCATCGGCCGTGGCTGCACCACGGGGGTTCTGGGAACTGCTGTGGCGATTCAAGAAAAGAGGCCTCGGGGTGGGGGGCACGTTCCCAGCCCGTATCTGGGAGCACACCTACCCTGGTCTGCAGAGGCCTTCATCGTGAGCCTGACGACAACCCTGCGCGGTCTGCCGGCGCAGTGGGCTTCACCGTCCTGCTGTCCGCACTGCGGTTGGGATGGAGTGGGCGCTTGGGTTTTGGCACGGCCACCTTTGCGGAATCACGGAACATCAGGCCCTGGGGTCTTCTGCCCAGCCAGCACGAGGATGGGGTCTGTAGTCCTCCAGCACCGTCCGAAGGGCCGTGGGATGCCCAGCCCTGCCTGCTTCCCGCCCTTGAGCCTGGAGACAGCAGTCGCGTTGCTGCTTGAGCCCGGCAAGTGAGCTACGCCCCCCCGGCCGTGCCTGCCGCATCTCACCTCCGGTTGCCCGAGGGCCACGCAGCCCTCACTTCTCAGAGCGCTGCCGCAGCAGCCTCCGGGGGCTCGGACCCCGCCACGGGCCTCGGGCCTCCCCGGCCAGCCGTCCCCCACAGGCAACGGGACGGGCAAAGCGGGGGGAGAGGCGCAGCCCTGGCCCCGCCTCAGGCGGCTGGGGACCGATCCAGGGCCCGGTCCTCGCTGGGCACCGGCAGGCCATGGATCCCGCCGCCCCAGTTAATTCCCCTGCCAGCCCCCACGGGAGGCGGCTCGGGGCTGACTCACGCACTCCCCACGGAGTTCCCGCTCGCCCAGGGGACCGCTGGTGGGGCCACCTGCCCAAACCTGCTGCCCCCCATCCATCGGGGCTTCAGCCCCGTCAGCTCCGGCCAGCATCACCGGTGCAGGGAATGCTGGGAGCCGGGGGAGCCTCTCTCGACACCCGCGAATGCCTTTCCTGTCCGGCCCATGTGACTCCCCGCCGCTTTCTCTCTGCTTCCCTCGGCAGGACTGCGGGGGCCTCCTGTCGGAAGGGGACAACCAGGGCTGCTACCCCCTGGATGGCCACGTGCTCTGCAAGGGCTGCAACTCGGCCCGGATCCAAGCGCTGACCGCCAAGGCCAGCACCGACCTCTGAGCCCCCAGGACCGTGCCGCCCCCCCTCGCCAGCTGGAGGGCCTCGAGACAAGGGCGGCTCCTCGGGGCCTCTCCGCACACTGCCGTGTCCCCCAGGCACGCCACCGGCCCGCGTGGACGGGGCGCCCTTCCCCTGCACGGGGCCTGGGAAAGGCCCTTCCGGGGGGGCCGCTTTGGCTCCTGGACAGGCTGCCCGTGCCCCTGTGGGCGGCAGCGCCCACACCTGTCTGAGGGGTGCCGGGACGCCGCGACTGGCCCTGAACGCCAGGGCCAGGAGCCGCTTCCTCAGCCGGGGGCCCTCAGCCGGGCTCGACAGCAAGCCCAGCGTCTCCACCCAGTGGCCGTTGGCTGTGCCGGCTGCAGATAACAGGGAGCGTGCCCCGGCCATGGGGGGGGGGCGGCACCAGTTTGGGGGAACACCAGTCCCGGCCCTTTGCTTGTCTCCACCCCCTTCCAGCTGAATCACCCCTAAAACCAGAACCCCATTATTCCACCGTGCACACTTTATAACGATGTACAGCCATCTCACAAGCCATCAATCTCTCAGCTTGCTGGCACTCGAATATGCTGAAACACACGTTGTATCTATCTATGCCTGTAGCCAAATATGATCACGTATTGCAATATTTTCCTAGTGCCTTAAAGACAGCAAGGAGCAGGGGGCTGGAAGAGGCTGTGGCAGGGACTGGGGGCCGGCAGCACCGGCGGGAAACCAGCAGGCCTGTCCTGGGACAGCCCTCCCATCCCTGCACAAAATCCTCTTCATTTGTGGGCTCTGGGGGTGGCAGGGCTGGCCCCCAGACTGCCATGCCTCCGCCGGAAGGCGTGTCCAGGCCACGAACCACACGCGAGCCCCTCCTTCGGCGATTTACATCTGAAATGCCACAGCCAGCGTGTGTTCGTGTTGGAATGGGATTTGGAGCGACGCCTTTGTGAAAACGAAAATACTTGCCGTGGCAAAGGTGGAGCGTTTACTCACTGCTCTGTGGCAGCACCGCAACCTTAGTGGAACCTGCCCCGCATCGCCCTCGCTCCGTGCGGCGTGATGCCGCGCGGGGACCCACAGGTGCTGCCACTGTCTAGCTCTGCCTCGGGATGAGGGTGCCCGGGACAGAGCGAAGCTCCTCCATCCCCAGACAGCAGCGAAGCATCTTGATTCGGCCAAAGTGTGCGCACCTTGTGCCAAGCTTTGAAGTGACGACAGGGACAGCCTCCGTTTATGCCTGATGGTTCTGGATGCACGTTTCTTTCGCCCCTGCTGAAAGCTCAGTTCACACAAGCAAGAAATGTGCGTGGATTAGATTGCTTCAGGCCGCAGTCAGACGTAGCTGAATGCTTAACCATAGAGCAGACCGCCTGTTTATCAGGGAGAGGGCTGAGAGGATCCGCTGCTCCTCTCTGAGCGAAGAGTTATGCCTTCAAAGATAGATGGACGTTGAATGCCACCTACAGTCCGAAATGGTCTAGCCCAGTGACGGCGGGGTCACGATTCTCCAGACCGTCTTTCCGTTCTCCATCAGTGCCATCTGGGGAGGCGGTCCAAGGGCAGCTTCGGAGTGCCCACGCAGTGCCCCCCAGCGCCGCCTGGAGCCCAGTAGCAAAGTGCTGCCGGAGGCTGCCTTCGCAGGGCTGGGTCACCGCGGTGGAATCTATTTATTACAAAGCTTTATTTAACCTATTACAAAGAAAACACTTTTTCCCAACAGGACCTTGGACACAGTCCAGCAGGGAGGCCTTTTGCGCAAGTAACGCCTGGCACAGAGCGGCACGGTCGCATCGCATGGTGCGCACCCAAGAGGCGCTCCTGGTGGATCCGGTCCCTGGTCCGGAATATACTATGCATTATATTTTATTCTTTTATTCCTGAGATTTCCTATGCATTTTCTAAAATAAATAGGAATTTAAAAATTATATATATATATACACACACACACATACACAGAGAGAGAGAGAGAAACACACATAGTTATACACCATTTTGATGGTGCTTTTAAGGTCCAAGGTTTCACTGTCTGCGTATGCACATTTCCACAAGCCATTTCAGTGTCCCACGTAAGCAAAACGGGCCCGTTTCCAGAGCAGGTGATGCCTGAACGGCCCTCCTGAGTTGGCTCTGAGGCGGATACGCAGCTTCACCCCTGCCTGTTCCCCTATAGCTGCAGAAGGCGATGGGGTGCCGGCTGCAAACGCAGAGGCCCAGCGGAGCGGGTGGGGCTCCCAGCCTGGGGGTCCAGTGCCAAAAACGAATTCCCGCCAAACGCCCTGGGCCAGAGGGGCCAGGGAAGAGTCCCGCCTCTGGGACGGAGCCATGCTTGCTTTTCTTTCGCTTTTGTTGTATGCACTAATTTTGGGCAAGTGTCGATTCTGGCCTAATCGCAGTTGCATAGGAATTGCCCTGCGATCATATCTGAGGTGGAAGTATTTGAATTTGCTGCCACTCGCCAGGCAGAAGGGCTGGAAGCGTCCTTTCCTGGAGAAGAAGCCTGTGGCACCCAAATGGAGCTTCCATGCACAGGAGCAGTGCAGCGCTGATTAAAGGGCGCCGCAGAACCAAAGATGTTTACACCCGGGCCTCACTCGCCGGCAGGGCCAGCCTGACTCCGATTTCACCCAAGTGCTTCCCACAGTGCCTTCGACTTCTTCTGTGTGCTCATTTCTACATGTCCAGCTCCGCACCCTCCGTAGCAGGCCGCCCACCTTCTGCAGGGCTTCCTCGCGGGTGCTTTGCACAGAAGCAAGACTGATCATGCTAATTTTGCTAAAATGCTGCATTAAAATCCTTTTGTGAGGAACGGGCCGTTGTGCATCATTGAGCCCTGCTCTGGGGGCCAGGGCCTTTTCTTCGGGGCTTTCTTGGGAAGAGGAAAGGGGTGGGGGCACGAGGAGAAGGCGCACGCGCAGGGGAACGGGGCCGTCGGCGTTCTGCGGGCAGAGGGTGGGCCTGGGCTGGGCAGCTGGGTTCTTCCGCCCCGAAGGCCCCATCTGGTTTGGAGAAGCTGTTTGGCACCACGCCTCTCTGTGGGGCAAAAGGGTGGAGGAAGAGTGGCAGGAAGTGCCAACACACCTCAGCCTGAAGTCGGAAGGCTGCCCATGACGCAGCCGTGGGAAAGGCGCGTCTGTCATTTGGCGGCAGGCCGGTCCCCTGCGGGTCCAGTCAACCCACCCTGGAGCTCTGATGCAGACGGGAGTCCCCTGTGGGCCACGGGGCAAAGCCGTCCTAGCTTAATGCTGGGCTTCTAAGGTCTACCCTTTCCCAGGTTGGAAAGCTGGTGTCATGCTGGCCCTGGTTTTGGGGGTCACTGGTGTTCCTGCGCATCCCCAGTCCCCATGGCCTGGACCGCCCCTGCCCTTCTGCAGCCTTGTCCCAGTCCCAGGCAGGACCGCTCTCGGCTCACCCAAGATGCTTCTGCTGGGCCAGCTCTGCATCTCGTGTCTTGGGAACGGGGTGGGGACAGGTGACAAACGAGGGGTGGGGGGACTGAGAGAGGGACCGAATCTGGACAGCGTACTAGAAAGCAGAGGCATCACTGCCGACAAGAGCGCGCCTAGTCAAGGTGATGGTTTTCCCAGTTGCAATGTATGGCTGTGGAAGCTGGACCATAAGGAGGGCTGAGCGCCGAAGGACTGAGGCCTTTGAATTGTGGTGCTGGAGGAGACTCCTGCGAGTCCCTCGGACTGCAAGGAAATAAAACCAGTCCTAGAGGAGATCAACCCTGACTGCTCTTTAGAAGGCCGGATACTGAAGATGAAACTCAAATGCTTTGGCCACCTCATGAGAAGGAAGGACTCCCTGGAGAAGACCCTGATGCTGGGAACGATTGACGGCAAAAGAAGGAGGGGATGGCAGAGGATGAGGTGGCTGGATGGAGTCACTGAAGCAGTCGGTGTTTGCTTAAGTGGACTCTGGGGGATGGTGGAGGACAGGAAGGCCAGGAGGAGTGCTGTCCATGGGGTCACGATGGGTTGGACACGGCTTCGCAACTAGCAGCAGCAGAAACTGTGAGAAGTGTTGCCGTGGGCTGTGGCAAACTGATCTATTGCAGGGCAGCCTTTCACAGGGCATCTCCTGGCCCTGAAGACGCCGCGGGGCTCTTGCCTGCCCTCTCCCCTCCACTCGCACACCTTGGATCGTGAAGGCCCAAAGGTCACCTGGGGGCCAGTCTCCCCCACGGCAATCGGGTACCTTCATCTGTCGAAGGAGTCATGCTAGCTCGACCGTGGGGACCGCCGCCTCCCACATGGCGTCTCAGATGGGGCTGCGTTCCACTGCCCCCCGCCCGCCCCCCATTTCCTGTCTCTTTCCTCCTGCAGCTGCTCCTAGAAGGATCCTCACTGGTTCCGCACTTCGCTGTTCCGTATAAACTTGCACAATTCCAGATAATCATTCTCTCTGCCTGCCCCAACCTGCCGCCCTCCAGACGCGTTGGACTACGACTCCCAGCATCCCCCAACCAGGACAGCTGGAGGGCAGCAGGTTGGGCAGGCTGCTGAAGGTCAAACACAGACGGCAAGACACCAAACTCTGCAAGCGAGGGGCTGCTTTCCCCTTTAAACCCTCGTGCCTGAGGCAGAATGCGAGCCAGGGATGCCTGCAGCTGAGTGTCAACGTTTCAAAGGCGGAGGAGTGGGAAGCAGGGCTGGGAAGCAGGAAAGGGAATCCTCTGAGAGTCTGATGGTGCAAATTGGCAAAACCACAAGACAGCTTTTTAACAGCCTGTTATCAATTGCATAAGAGCCTGTTAGCCCTTTTCTGGCCCTGCTAAGATCCTCTTTTTAAAATCTGCAAGCCTTTCCAGGACAAATAGGGGTTCCCATTCTGGGTTTTTTTTTCCTTTTTGTTTTTTTTGCCCCAGGTTGGACTGGGAGGTGCATTGCAGCTTGTGACAGATTTCTGAGTTCTCATGGACTCCCCTTGCAAACACGTGCCTTGCAAGCTCTGAACTCTTTCCTCGGTGGCCCAGATGCAAAAAAACAGCTTACCAAGTCTGGGCTCAGGGACCCTGGCATGCTGGAGCTAGAGCGGGTGCAAATTTGCTGGGAGGAGGCCACAGAGGGAGGAGGGAGGCAGGAGGAGGGGAGCTTCTCTCAGAACTGGGTGCTGCTTGTGCAACCCAACACATCGCTCCATTCGGAAAGGTACCTGCAAGGGCTGTGGAAAGTCGGAGAAATCCTGGCATAAAAGCGTTGCTTATGTGCCTTTGTGTTATAAAATGCCAGCACCCCTTTCTCAGAAGGTGCCCCAATCCCAAGCCGGGTTGCTGTTTAGCATTTGCTGTTGCTTTAAGAAGTGGGACCTGATGGCTTCCCCCAGAAGCTGCCAGGGCTATTGTCTTGCTGGTCAGTAAGGGCTGACAAGGCAGCCAGGTTAACAGCATCGCAATCCCCCTCGTTTGCATGCCAAGACCCACAGGAATCCCTGTGCCTCGGTGATCATTGCGTTAATCTCCTGCAATCAAATATCGTTGTACTGAGCGCCCCCCTGGAGACCCCTCACCTTCTTCTGACTGCGCTCCCCTTGTTTCTTCATCAACTGCCCAGCTGCTGGGCCCCCGTGACTCAGAATCTATAAAACACTCTGTGCATGTTCTGAAAGCTTGGTGTTGGTGGCGCAGACCTCTACCCAGTCACATGCTGCCACAAGCAACTGCAGGGGGTCTGGGTGGTCTCACCAATGAACACGCCGGGCTTCAAGGCGATTCAGTCTCCCTTGCAGGTCCTGGTAACGCATCCTCGGCATTCGTAAAGAGGCTCTGGCCCTAGCAAAGTTTTGCATGCGCTTCGGAGCCTCAGAAGTTTGTGAACAAGGAGAATAAAGAGTTTCACAGTTTGCAAAACAACCCTTCCTAAAATGTTGCAGCGATGAGTGCTGCCAGCCAGCCAGCCCTGCCCTCCTACCCGCACTCCATTCCATCCCCTCTCACCACCCAGCTTCCCCTTTCGGATCCCCAGGGATCCGCCAGCATTCTGCCTGCACGGGGGGACCAGGTCCTCACTGAGCTGTTCTGCCCAGGGTTGGGCGTCCCCCATTTAGAAGGGGTGCTCGCCCATTGCGCTCCACCCCGGCTCCATGCACCTCCTTCCCGGTGTGAGCATTCCCACCGAGTGCAGCTTGCCCTGGAAAAGCACAGCCATGCAGCACAGTCGGCGAGGAAGCGGCGCCTCGGAGGCGGGAGCACGTGGTTCGCAGCCCTCCTTTCCCCCAACCTTTCTGCCCCCTCCGTCTTGCTGAGATGCCCTTGCGCATGGACAGTGCCACCCCGTGCATCACGCTGGGCAGGGCTGCCCTGCATGGACCAGAGCGCACCTTTGCAACGGCAATGCGCCCATGCAGCCCCGGTCTGCCTTCCGGCTTCCCTCCAACCTCAGTGCACCCAAATGGGCCGTCCAGCGCATCACAAGCTCCTGGGCTTTCCTCACTGGGGGCTGCCCAGCTGCCTCCATTCCCTAATCCCCCCCCCGCACGTGGGGGCTCCCTTGGCACATTGCATCGGGGTGGTGGCTTTAGGGCCAAGGAAGTGGCTTCCAGGGAAAAATTGTCTTCCAAGGGCAGTTTTTAAAAGTTGCAAAATGTTAGGATAAGCTATGAGCTTTTAATGTGGTGTGAAGTTTAGTCCCAAGGCTGAACACACATATAAACATGTATTATTATAACTTATTATTTTATTAGTCCTTACTTTGGCAGTGACTCCTGGGAATTGTTGCTTGCCGGGGAGGTGCTGAGGGCTCTTTCGCAGGGCTCCGTCCCGCTGCCGCTCTTCCGCAGACGTTCCCGGGATTCTTTGCAGCAAGGGAATTATGGTCATAAACAGTTGTGTTTGCTTTTGATGCTCCAACTTTCTCTCTGATGTCCACCATTGTGTGCAGCTTCTGGATATTTATAAAGTTGAGGGAGGAAATATCTGCTTGTTCACAAACTGAGGTTTAGAAGCTTGGAAATTAATAATTTCTAATCCTGACCCATTTTCTGCAGATTCTGTTCATCTAGAAAAAGAAATGCTATCTGGATTTAATGGAAAGGGGTTTCTCTCTTATCATATGCCAAGCTGTTAGTGGGAAACAAAGCTATGCTTCATCACTGACTTCTGGACTTTTTTCAAAGAAAACCAAGATGACAAACACGAAACCAGATTTTTTAAAAACCACGATACATTATTATTGCTATTACTAATAGTAATGCATTAAGAACTGTAAATCAATAAATAAAACCACTTAAAACCCACCACAGTACTAAAGGAAGCCTCAAACAATCCGAATCTCACAAACAATGAGCAGCGAATCAGCTTGCAAATGCAGAAGGCCCGGTTTGCTAGAACAGCGGAAGGTCCAGAAGGCCACCAGCAGGACTCCGGCTAAACCAGCCCTCTCAGTGGGCAGCCCTCCCAGCCTGCTGCTCCAGGATCCCCACTCACATCATCCACAGCCAGCATGACCACTGAGAGAAGCAGCAGTTGAAGGGCCCTTTGGCGGATTCCTTCGATGTGTGGGTCACAGCAGAACTCGCCCCATGGCGGGTGATGCAGAAGAAAGAAGAGGGCCAGCCAAAATGCCCTTTTAGCTTCTAGCTGTACCAAGCCCTTGGCATGTGCTGTGCAAACGCGTGGGCCACCACCGGATAATCAGAAAGTGGGGGAAGGGGGTAGGGCTGGATTGAGGGCCCAGGGGGCAGACTTGGACCAGTGGCCCGAGGTTGCCGTGCCTGCAGCAGAGAGATGCTCGCTCGAACTACGAGAGCATGTGCTCCCCGCACACGCCCACCCCCCAAAGCAGCCCACCGGAGGTCTGCCGGGTCTTT